TTTCTCTTTAAATGAGGATCACAAACTGTGATCACAGGTTTGGGATCTTGATTTGACAGTAAATTGGTTTGTGGAAGTAGAATCCTATAATCGCTTCCTGGCCACCCCTGTGCACCAAGGAAAGAGTATGGGAAGACATGCACGAGTTCTGAGATGAGCTGCAGTCTTTGCACTAAGATATTTTGTCCCTCAGGCAACGTGAGAGAACGAGCTCTTTTATTCACTAGGAAAAAAACCCCATATCTTTGCTTTTCAGCAAATGCATTCTCTCTCCAGGTCTTCAAACCAATAGTTGAGAAGTTCAATTTGACCCTGGATTGTGACATAAAAAGGAGGTAAGACTCGGTATTGTATAACACGTTGTCCTGTCTCTGGACAGTGAATTGTGGGTCGTGAGTTCTTGTGTTCAGTGCCTTTTCTCTGCTAATGTTTCCAGAGTAGAAAAGTAATAATGGCACAACAGAAGAGCCTTTCTGTATATGGCCTAGTTGTGACACAGTGACACCAAACAGTAGAATACATCTTCCTGTCTTCTAATACTTTGGTGCTCCTGCAAGAAGACTGTGAACTAGCCACCATTTATTGTTATATCCAAACCAAATGTGACAGATGGCCATGTTGTTGGGAGTTATAGGTCAATACATGGTGATTCTTGGTCAGGAAAGAATGTGTTAAACTGAGGTTAACCTAAGGTATGATTTAGAATCAAAGAAACTTTATAAATTTTAGTTTGAAATCTTAAAGTGTACTTGAGACTAACCATGGTTTGCCCCAGTTTGGACAAACCTGTTTATTTAGCTGATGCTTTTCTTTTGTTGATAGAAGTTGTTGGTGATTATATGCATGCTTACCTATGTGCAGCCTCATGTAACTCAGTGGGGGCTATTTCAGAGGACTTATATATGATACTGTGCTGCTGATTGCTTTGCATCTGTTTCATTTTTTGTTTAATCAACTAGAAGTCACATCAGAAACTGTAGTTTCTGCGGTAAGTGATATATAAAATGAACAGAAGTCAGGTATTGTTGTCTTGCCTTGCATTTTGGGGTGTTTAGAGACATTTGGTTGCCTGCTGTGGAAACAAGATACTCAACCAGATACACTTTTGTATTGGGGCGCTTTTTCCGCTCCATAGCATTGGAGAAGAGTTTTGTTGTGGTTTCAGTGAGGCAAGGCTAAGGCAAAGGACAACACGGCACCCCTTCTGTTCCATGTACAGAAGCTGCCATGAACCTAGTTTCAGCGTTATTGCTTAGGTTGCAAGCTAGTGTAGGGGGTGTTGGGAAGCTCTCATCCAAGAGAGTGGAGAAGGCAGGACGCTAAGGAGAAAGAGCTGGAATACCTCCAGCCTCTGTTGCCTGAGCATTCTGTTACCTCATTCTGTCTTATGGTGGGATTGATCCTGCTGTGAGAATTCCGGGTAATGTATGATTTATTCTGGCATTGTAGACTTGCTTGGAGGAAGGAGCCAGTTGAAACCTTGTGCCTAAAAGTGTACTTGTTGTACTTAAAAGTTATATCTGTTCTTTCTGCCCGAGAAGAGTCATTTTCTCCATACGATCTCTTTCTGACAGAAAATATAGACATTCCCATGTTACAAACTGATCTCCTTCACTGAGAAGGCAACTTGGCTCTGTCTGCTATGTCTTGATAGGGGCTACTACCCCAAGGGTGGCGGTGAAGTGGTCATCCGAATGTCCCCTGCGAAACAGCTAAGCCCACTCCATTTGACAGACCGTGGCACCGTGACCAAGATCCACGGAAGAGCCTTTGTTGCTGGAACGTTGCCAGTCAGAGTAAGTCTGTCTGATAGTCTTGCGTGGCCAGGGGAGGGAAGACAGGAGTGTTGTCCTATACACGGGGTTGAATCCAGACTAAGACTAGGAGTTAGACCCACTGAAGTTGACAGAAGAAGGTACTTACATTGCAGTAAGACATGGGAGTTTTGAAAGTTATTTTATTTATTGCAGCTCCCAGAATCCTCCAGCCAGCATCCCCATCGACCACTTATTTTAAAAAGTTCAATTTAGTGGCCAGTGTTTTGCCCAGTATTTATAGTCATGTGGAGCTCTAGCTGTGGAGGTTGCTTCATTGGTCTGAGGAGGTGCGGGTTGTATGTGACCAGATTTGCTACCACCATCTAGTTAGATTGCTGTAGATGTCCCTGCAGTTGGAGTTTCACATACACAGATTACTGAACAAGACACTGGCCAAATTATTATTTTTTCCAAGTTCTCGGGATAATTTGGTTGGTTTACTGCCCAAGACAAAGAGCAATATGGCTCCTCCTGTTCTTCCCTATGCCAAGGCCAGTTGGATTAGTTGTATCTAGGCATGGGCTTTTTGGAATTTGTGGGATACATTCCATATGGGTCTGCAGGAATTCCCCTAGCCAGACTTCTGGGGTTTAATCAAGAAATAAATCCTGACAGGTGTTTTCAAGTTCTTAAGCCAATGAATTCAGGATTTGGCAGCCATTTTCATCCTGTGGAGAAGATGGAGAAACAAGTGAGTGGGGCTAAAGGAGTTCCTAAAGACTTCTGGGGGATTGTAGTCCATGAATTCTAAAAATCTCATGCCTGGTTGTATCTCCGCTCAGCATTTGCTAGAGGACTGCATCCTCCAGCACATTTAAAGATAAGTTTTGGAGGTTCACAGCGTGCACAGTTCTGTCCTCCACTACCTTGACATTTCTGCCTTCAATGCATGTGGAAAATTGCAAGTTCATTCCTGGCCATCTCCAGTTAAAAGGATCCAGTTATATGAAACATCTCTGCCCAAGACCCAGGAAAGATGAAGCCAGCCAAACCAAGCAACGCTGACCAAATAACCTGATGGCTTAAGGCAGCTTCCAGTTTTTCTGATTCAGTTTTTTTTAAATGTCATATAGAACACTAGACACACTCCTGTTTATATATATATATTTGTTATGTGAGTAATGATTCAGACTAATTTTCCTTTGATCTGTAAAATAGGTGTCTATGTTTTCTTTTTGACGTGTAAGATCTTTAGTCAATTAAGTAAAACTGTTATATCAAGGATTTCGTGAAAATCATTATACTCAGTTTTATTTTTTCACATTAGATAGCAAAAGACATGGCTTCAGCAGCTGTGAGATGCATCAGAAAGGAGATGCGGGATCTTTATGTGAATATTCAGGCTGTTCAAGAGCCTGATAACAAAGCCTTTGGAAACGGAACTGGAATAATGTGAGTAGGTTCGACAAGTGGCTCAGTATTACCAGCAAGGCAATGCAGTTCACAGCCAAGTTAAGCCAAAGTGTTTTATTTTAGAGTGAATAATTCCCTAGGATTAAACCAGACTACTTGGGTTTCACCAAGTGTAACCTGCTTCTGATTCATTTCATACAACACACCAAAAAAGATTTGGGGAGTAATGGAGGATAGGAGAGAAGATTATATTTCCTGCTTGCTTTCTTGGAACTTGGTTGTGTCTGGTTTTCTGTTATTCATTTCAATTTTTTGGAAAAAAAAAAGATTCTGTCACCAAATTTTGCATTCATTTATAGACTTCCTAGTAGACATGAATCAAGATCTAGTTTAAAAGCAGTAGAAATGGATTCGTTTGGGTTTTACAGAGATCTGCAGACCATTAAGACCAGTATGCTTCTAATTACCATCTGCTGGGAGGTGGGGAAAGCATGAGAGAGAAAGTTCTTGCCTTCATGCCTGGCTCTGGTAGTCTCTGTTAAGTTACTGTAGCAAGCAGGATACAGAACTAGGTGGGCGATTGTTTCAGCCAGCTTTAGATCTTGAAAAGAACAATGTTCTTGCATTTTTTTCCTGTGGCTCCTTTGAACATCAGGTGCAAATTAAAATGGTCCTCTGTAGCTTTTAGCACTTTCGGGTTTGGTCTTAATTTAAATTTCATGAAGACCCTGGCCATAAAAGAAGGGCCCAAAGTTCTGGTTTGTGCCTAGAAACTCCCATGTTTTCGTTCTGTGGAGCAGCCCGAGGCAGGATGTCACTGTCCACAAAAGGAAAGGGGACTATTCACAGCCGTGTTTCATCACTTTTGATGCGACTAAGCAAAAAGGCAGGAACATGAGTGCTCAGTTATTTATTTGGTTCTTTAAATGTGTTCCAGTATACTCTTATGTGAGCATGTGTTCTTATAGTTCCTCACTTTAAAAAGAAACCTTGAATGTTACATTGGCTCTTTTTCTCATCTGTTCATGGCACAAGACAAGTCCAAGACATGTGCCTTTCTCACACAAAAGACAAGATACGGCCCACTCCTTGCTTTAATATTTATTTGTTGTTGTTTAGTCGTTCAGTCACGTCCAACTCTTCGTGACCCCATGGACCAGAGCATGCCAGGCCCTCCTGTCTTCCACTGCCTCCTGGAGTTGGGTCAAATTCATGTTGGTAGCTTTGATGACACTGTCCATCCATCTCGTCCTCTGTAGTCCCCTTCTCTTCTTGCCTTCACACTTTCCCAACATCAGGGTCTTTTCCAGGGAGTCTTTTCTTCTCATGAGATGGCCAGAATATTGGAGCCTCAGCTTCAGGTTCTGTCCTTCCAGTGAGCACTCAGGGTTGATTTCCTTCAAAATGGATAGGTTTGTTCTTCTTGCAATCCAGGGGACTCTGAAGAGTCTCCTCCAGCACCACAATTCAACAGCATCAATTCTTCGGCAGTCAGCCTTCTTTATAGTCCAGCTCTCACTTCCATCCATCGCTACTGGAAAAAACATAGTTTTGACTATGTGGACTTTTGTTGGCAAGGTGATGTCTCTGCTTTTTAAGATGCTGTCTAGGTTTGTCATCGCTTTCCTCCCAAGAAGTAGGTGTCTTTTAATTTCGTGGCTGCTGTCACCATCTGCTGTGATTAATATTTATACTGCTTCTTATTTTTAAAGAAAATTCTGAAGGAGCTTAGGGTATCCGCTCCTTTGTTGCATCAGAGGGTGGCAGGCCAGTTGGGGGGCTGCATGAAAGGCTGCATGGCACACACAGCTCTGTCATCCACTAAGAGAGGAACGAACAAGAGACTTGGAGGAAGTAGCTAGGAGGCTGCACTGGCAAACCCCCTGGCATGTGCCTCTTAAGATGACTGCCTGTTGCGAAGGTAGCTGGCTCTGTCGTAAAGGCTGAAGCATCCTGTGACATTATGCCTATTCTGACTAGGAAGCTCTGACTAGCAGATGTAAGACTGTGCTCATCAACACAAGCTCATCAAGATCAGTGGACTGTTGAGCACTCAATTCTTTAAAGGATGGCAGTTTTCAAATTTGAAGCATTAGTATGCCATATGTCTTGTTATCAAAGTCTATCAAGGAGTATTTTCTGAACATAAACAGTTTTGCTCTGACTTTATAACAAAATTCTCCCCTCTACTGCCTGCCATTTGATTTAGAATTGTTGCAGAGACTTCCACTGGCTGCTTGCTGGCAGGATCATCACTTGGAAAAAGAGGTGAGAATTTTGACATGAGGGCGCTTTTAAAATGCTGCTTAGCCTACCTGAGAAAGCCAGTTTGGCTCTCTGGTAGTACCTTCTCTTCTTTCTTGTGTGTGACAGGCCAGGATGGTTTAATACAGAGGAAGAGAACATAGGATTCTCCAGATCTCATGCTGCGACTCCCTGCGTCCTAACCACTATAGTTAATGGTGAGCGATCATGGGAGTTACAGTTCAACAACATTGGGAAGGGCACATCTTTTGCCCCTCCTTGGTTTTGTGATGATTGGGATTGTGTCAGATCCATTGGCCATTCCATAGTCTGAAAGGACAGTGGGGTCCGATAGAGGTTTCCTGTTGGAGAAGTTGTGTGTGTGTGTGTGTGTGTGTGTGTGTGGGTGTGAGAGAGAGAGAGAGAGAGAGAGAGAGAGAGATTCAATGTCTCTGTCATACTATCTTCCCTTGATCATCATCTCCTCATGGTTCATATTACTCTTGAAGGTCCCTTGCCACAGAACAGCTTTCCAGGGGACACAGAGGGCTGCAGGGGGAAGGAGGTGTCATAAAAACTGCCTGCCTGCTCCTTTCCACAAAGGCATAGACATGGCAATTAACTCTACTAAATCTATTTTAAAAAATAATAATAATGTTATGCGTTTTTACCCTGTTTCATGTAAGTGGTTGCATTGTCAAGTTAAGTTAATTACAGTATGAATAAATGAATTATTTTGGTATATATTCTGATTATTTTAAATGATGGCTGGAATCCTTCTAGAATTTACACAAGTAAGGACAATTGTGCAGGTGGTCTTTGTGTCTTGTTGCTGGTGCATCATGTGCAGTCAGGGTATAACTTAAGTGGGTGACAGTCCATGAAATAATGTACACTGCTTCTGTGATTGTTTTTCCACACTGCATGATGTCAATACCGTATTTAAGCTATTTCAAATTAGCACATGTGCCATGATGTTACTTATGTCACTATACATATTTCTTTTTTGTTCATTATCTGAGACTATGACCATACAATAGAGTAAAACAAAGTTCATATTTTGAAATCATATATGTCCTCTTCATAGGATGGTTTTGTTATATTAAAGAGCTTTTTAAACTCTTGCAAAATATTCAGGCCTAGTTAAGATGAAAACGTCCATATTTAAATGGTGAGGGATCCATATTTAAATGTTACCACTGGTGGTGGAAGGAGCAAAATTGTCTCTATTATCTCTGCAAAAGTATTTCTGTTATACCTCTTCATAATATGTTGCATGCTTTGTTTGCTGCTATATCTGTCAAATACTGTTTTTGACCCAGATGTTTCAGTTTTTCACCTAAAACTTTACCAAAAGGTAAGGTTAGAATGTAATGACAACTCAAGAAACTGTTGTGTGTTCTACTTGTATAGAAAGTATATTGTATATCAATGTGTTTTCAGTGCAAGCTTACAGAATAAGATTTGTTTAATCAATATCATGGTAATGAGGTTCCTTGTTTTGATGACAGTGGGCATCTTGCTAGTGATACCATACACCTGAGAGAGAGGAGCTTTGTAAATGTTCTCCTACAGAGAAGTGCAAATCAGATGAAATTTTATATGAATACACTTTCTATATATTCTTGAAGGCTTTCACGGCCAGGATCCGATGGTTGTAGGTTTTTTGGGCTGTTTGGTTGTTCTCTGGAGATTTTTCTTCCTAATATTTCGCCAGTCTCTGTGGCCAGCATCTTCTGTCTGTGACTCCTGTCCTCTGAAGATGCTGGCCACAGGTGAAATGTTAGAAACAAAAACCTCCAGAACACAGCCAAACAGCCTGAAAAACCTACAACATTTTCTATAACTTAATTTGCAAACAAGATGTTTATCGAGAGTGAACCTAGCACTTTTCAAATTTATTTTTTAAAAAACACAGACCAGAAAGTTGTAATCTACTATGAGCTTTTTTTCTGTTTATTAAAGAGCAAATCTTGTTTAGGAATTTCTGTTAACCTTTCCCTGTGCTTTTTTTAATTACACAGGAAAAAATGCTGATAAAGTCGGTATTGAAGCAGCAGAGATGTTGCTTACAAATCTTCGACATGGAGGAGCTGTGGATGATTATCTGCAAGACCAAGTAAGAGCTACACAAAGATATGATAAGGCTAGTGGGGGATGTCCGCCACAATCTGAAAGCCTGAATAACTGAATTAGACGGCTCCTGTTATGGATTGGGATTCTGGGAATGCATTGCACCAGTAGTGGTACTAATCCTGTTTATGCATTACACCTGAAATTGAGGAGAGAACTAAATGAGATGGTGAGGATTTGGAATGCATGCAAGTCCAACCTTCAGTTACTCCTTCATGCAGAAGTCATCCAGATCCTTGCATAATGAAACCAGAGGTCAGCAGATGACCTGGGAAAAATGTTCCACTGAAAGTGCTTATAGGGTTCCAACAATCAGGAGTGTTGCATGTCATAGGAGCCATACGTGCTTATCAGCTACTTTGCAGATTGTACACTGAACATACTATGGTTTGACTGACTCATTGGGGGATGGAGCAGGTATTCAAGAGAGTGCACCCCCCCTCCCTCCATGTTTAGGGCCTAATGCCTGAACTGGGCTACAGTTTCCTCATTGTTTTGACAGGCACAATTCACCATAAGGGCTTTGATTTGTATACTCGGCAGGATGCAAAAGCTGAAAACAAGGTTTCCTACAGAAAAAAACCCTGGATTCTGTGACTTGCCTACGTTCTGGGAAACAGATTTATATACTGAAACATTCTGCACAACTTAATCTCTGCCCAGTCTTGCAGGGAGCAGGGAATGGCATGGGGTTCATCCCACCCAAATCTTATATATTGTATTCCTATTCTAAAATAAGTTCTGTTGCATTCAATGGGAAATACATGGAAGTATGTGTAGGAGGAGAGGGCAATGTGTGGCTGTGACTCTGGCCCTTGGCACCCACTTCTTTTTTCCGGCGCCCAGCCACAGATGACCCAGATACATCTTCTTTAATTAAAGGTAATTCTTTATTACAAAACAAATCAAATGTCTCCATCTTGACATTTGCCTCTTCTCTTTCCATTAAGGACTTTCTCTTGAAACTTGTTTCATCTATGGCTCACTGGTTCCCCCATCAATGGCTGAAGTGTAGAACTATAACTCTTTTCCCATCTCAGTGGGCTGTCTGTCTATTTTGCTCTTTTCCTCTTTATTCCTTAAGATCCGTGTGGGTAGTATACCCGCCCCCCAAATGGCTCCCATACTTTCTTGCCTGAAGCTCATCTGCTCCTGGGTCGAAAGGGACTCTGCCCAGGAGAGCTCCCACAGGGCTTGAGACATGGTTGCTTTTCTCTGTTTTGAACCTCTCTTTCGAACCTCTCTCTCTTTCTTTCTTCCTTCTCTCTCTCTGTGCAATCTGTCGCCAGTAGGGAGGCTTTCTATACATTTGTCTTATCCATTTCCTTTCTGCCTCCTCTCTTGGGACCTTAAAAGTCACCCACTCGCCTGTGTGTGGGTGTTTCTTTACTATTTTGACCCCACCTTCTTCATTCTTTACTATTTTGACCCCACCTTCTTCGTTCTTATTCTTATTATCCTCCTCTTCTACATCCTAACAACTTTCCTCTTCTGTCTTAGGTTTTAACTGTCCCTCTTCCCTTAATGTTTCTCCCTTCATACTTTCCTCCCTTCCTGCCAAGACGGCTCTCTCTATTGGTAAATATTTTCCTGGGCTTTTCAGTTTCTTTTCCATTAATGTCATCTCTTGCACCCCTTTTTTTTTCTAAGGGTGGTCATGTTGTTACTTCTGACTTCCTCCCGGGGACAGACAGCACACCTTCTGAAATGGTTTTCTCTGGTCCAATTTCACAGTGGCCCTCCAGATATTCTTGGATGGCAAATCCAAGCAACCCTCACCATTAGTTCTGCTGCTTGGTGGGAATTGTAACTCAACTATAGTTGGAAGGCCACAAAGTTTGCAATATAAGGCTTTCTTTAAAACCACAGATAGTCTTCCTGAGTTTTTAAATTACTGTTAATAGAATGGTAACATTTGGAGATGTTGCAACACAGCCTTTGCCCAGCCCTATTTTAATGTTTTAATGTAGACACCCCTCTTGGACCCTGGATGTTTTCCTTTTATATATACAGTATATTTAAAGAGATGATGTTCTGATCTTTAATATGAAGTAGTTTCTACTTTGCTAATGGACTTCCTCTCTCCAATATGACTTTGCCCTTAGCAGGACCTACCGACAGACCACTGACTCATCTATGCACTGTGTTTTGACAACAGGGGTCCACAGAGCAGCATTGTTAATGATTGTGCTGGAGCTATGGAATTCCTTCCCTTTTTAAAATCTCTCTGTGAAGTATAGCTAATCATGGGCTAAAACTAAGCATGTACCCCTAGTATATATGCGTGTGTGTGTGTGTGTACCCCCAGTGTACAGTATATATATACTGGGGCTACATGTTTTATACACACACACACACACACACACTTAGGCTTACACATTTCCTGCTTTATATTTTTAGGACAAGGGTATTCTATAAATTTGAATAAACAAATGCAAAAGGAGCCCAGAGGGAGAATGACTGGCTTGAGTCATGAGCTCAAATCCTGCCGTTGTGTCACTATGGCTCCTGATTGTGTACAGAGACAGAGAGTCTTAACTTAGACTTACACATTACCTGCTTTATATTTTTAGGACAAGTATATTCGGTAAATTTGAATAAACAAATGCAAAAGGATCCCAGAGGGAGAATGACTGGCTTGAGTCATAGGCTTAAATCCTGCCCTTGTGTCACTATGGTTCCTGATGGCGTTCTTTTTCTTCTTGGGTTCCTTCTCCAGCTGATCATTTTCATGACTTTAGCAAATGGGCTATCTCGAGTGAAAACTGGACCAATCACTCTTCATACAGAAACTGCCATACATTTTGCAGAAAAGCTGACAAAGGTGAGCACATGTGTTCTTCTATGATAAGCTGTTGGGCACATATTCCAAATTGGAAGTGTGCAGATTTGTGGTTTCAGTCTATATCTCCCAAGGAGTCCTAGGAATTTAGGTAGTTGATCTGCACGCCTCTGTTTTGAACGCTGTCTTCCTGTACTTAGATCATAGACCAGTGGCTTTATCAGTGGGGAAATCAGGGCTGGCCTAAGACATGGTGGCCCCAACTCCATTTCTGAGTACAGAACAAGACTGACAGTATGTCAGTGCTGGCCAAAGGTCTGGGTCTACCTCCAAGCTTGAGGACAGGAGGCTAGTTTAGGCGGTGCAGAGCAGAATGCCTGGCACAGATGTCCTTGTCTTCTAATTCTTTGCCCAAGCTTGCTGCCCTTCAGCATCTGCAACCTGAGGTGGCAGTCTCACAGTGCCTCCTTGTTGGGCTGTCCCTGCTTTGTGGTGCAGTCTCTCTGAGGGTCTTAAATAAATTCAGATGCTGCTTTACTCTTGCTTTTAACCACTAGATTTTTAAAATGATATGATTAGAGATGGGCACAAATCAGGAAGACGGTGATACATTTTGATTTGTAATTCATCAAGGTCAGTGAATGTTTACGATTTTTTTCTGATGAATTGACGAATTGATTTGTCAATGCATGTTTTACTATAAAACCCTATAACTTCCCCGCCGCCACACCTAAAGACACCAGATTCACAGAGAAGCTTGTCCTCTACAAGCCCTTCATGTTTATTGAAGTTTGGGTTTTGGACATTCAAGTTATAAACCCACAAAGAGTACCCCCTCAGGAAAGTTCTCCCCAGGCACCTAGAGACACCAAAATCACAGAGAGGTTTCCCCTGATTCTCCTCTGCAATCCCGCCCAAGTTAGTGAGGTTTCAGACGTCTAAGTTATACAGTGGTGTCTCGACTTACGACTACAATCCGTTCCAGAAGATGGACGTAACTCAAAATGGTTGTAAGTCGAAGCACCATTTCCCATAGGAATGCACAGGAATGCAATTAATCCATTCCGGCCGAAGGGGGGGGGGAAGCAATCAGGCGTGCAAGACCCTTTGGAAATGCACAGAAAACAAATGGAGCCGATCAGAAATGCACAGAGAACAAAGGGGGCAGGTTGGAAATGCAAAGAAAAGTAATAATAAAAATGTCTCAGGGCAACTTCAGTAGCAGAAGAGCATTAGGGATGCCAACCAGACAGATACTTCTGTGGTCACATCTCAAGTTTGGAATGCCATCTCTAAGAAAGCAAGACCAGTGCCATTATTATGGATGTTTGATGCCAGATCAAGACACTTGTATTTGCTCTGGCATTTTAACTGATTGGAATGCTTCAGTTGGTATAAAGGCTTGTCGTTCACTGCTTTTCAGCCACCTTGTATTTATATACTGATTTGCATAGTACATAATGGTTATGGGTTTAAAGTTTCATTCATTCATTCATTCATTCATTCATTCATTCATTCATTCATTCATTCATTCATTCATTCATTGTCTTCTGCACAGCTCTGTAATCTATTTGGACGCCAGGCAGTTTATCCATTTTAAAAATAGTAAAACTAACTATATTTTAATATTGCAGGCTAAATTTACAGTTACAAAGTCCGAAGATGAGGGTGCTCCCAAGGATGCCTACATTATTGAGTGCCAAGGAATCGGGTTGCTAAACACCAACTTGTAGCTGCTGCTGCTGTTCTTGTGGGGTCTGTTTTGTTTCTGTTTTATGTATTACCTCCATGATAATTTGCACTACATTTCATCAAGGTGTTTGGGAAAACATAGTCTGATTAGTCACTGGTTTGATTTTCTTCCAGTGAAGGATCACCATTTGGGGTCACTGATCAATGGAGTCCTCCACATTTCTTTAGAGATAAAACACAGCAGGGCAGCTGTTCAGTACAGGCATCGTCGTATACCTCTGGAGAGTGAGCAGCTTCTAGAAAAAAATATGAGCTCTGTGATTCAGACATTCTCCTTGTTCCTGGTGGGGATCTACCTTCTGAAATCCTACCCAAGCATTTATAAAACTGTGTGTGAAAAATACATTAATTTCTGTACCCTTGCACGTTGCACATAATTAAACAATAAAATAAAACAAAACAATTGAACAGGTGAAAAGTGTTTGCCAGTCATTATTGGTAGAAGTAAAGAGTTTTGCACTGAATCTTTTTGTTTACTTCTGATAATAATGTGTTATAAGCACATGGGTGGGTGTTTTCACTTCTGAGCTATGGAATGTGAAAAATATTCCCCAAAAGTATAGGTTCCCCTGATATGCTGGTGTTTCTTTACCCTCATTCCTTTTTTTGTCTTTCACCGTGGTGGTTTGTGAATGATTCAGAAGTGCCCAAAATACACCTTTTCATTAGTTCTTTATTGATTTTATTTGAAACCTTCTGTCCCCGTTGTCTCACTGTTTGGTGTTGCTTTCAGAATCTTAAAAGAGCAACAAAGCCATATAAACCCTACAAATACTAAAGGAACACCTCCCTCACCTCCCTCCCACCGGCAAAAAACATAAGAGCAGAACAAAAGGCAAATAACTTCGATTACTGGAATGCCCTAGAGAGAGGCAGACTTAGGAAGAGGAGCACAGTGGTAGCATAGCAGCTACTCAGCTGGGGAGATGTGGGTGCTTTTAAACCACCACCACCCGCCCCATAGGAGAGCGTTTTGTGACTGAAAAAAGAGCAGGTGAGGAAAGCAACCATTTTTCCCCCAGGCAGGATGGATTAGGACATTCTTTTACGCCAGTGCTTCCCAGACCTGAGTAACTCAGATGTTCTTGGACTGCAATTCCCAGAAACCCACAGCCAACACAACTAGTGGTGAAGGCTTCTGGGACTTGCAGGCCCAAAACACCTGGGTTACCCAAGGTAAGGAGCCACTGTTTTACACTTAATTTCAGTTTGTAATTTTTTTTAAAGGACTGCCGACGCAGTACGTAAGCAGGTCAGGAAGACAAACCCAAAGATTTATAGAATATATTTAATTTGATTTTTGGTGCAGCTTCTTCCCCTTCTTGGACGCACCCCTTAACGTGGTGAAGAGGTTGGGTTCTAATTGAAGCAGAGAGCAATGCCAACAGGAGGCCAGACTCCATGACAAGCCTGGATTTCTAGCAGGGAAGAAAAGATAATCAAGTGTAAGGATGTATTCCTGGAGACCAAGACCAAGATCACTCACACTATTGCATTTCCAATCACCATGTATGGGTGTGGAAAGCTAGACAGTAAAGAAGGCTGATAGGGGAAAAAAGTGATTTATTTGAAATATAGAACTGGTGGGGAGCTTTGTGGATATCCTGGATTCTCAGAAAGACAAGTGGGTCCTAGATCAAATCAAGCCTGAACTATTGTGAGAGGCCGAGAGTAAGAGCCACTCACACTACTGCATTTCCAATCACCATGTATGGGTGTGGAAAGCTAGACAGTAAAGAAGGCTGATAGGGGAAAAAAGTGATTTATTTGAAATATAGAACTGGTGGGGAGCTTTGTGGATATCCTGGATTCTCAGAAAGACAAGTGGGTCCTAGATCAAATCAAGCCTGAACTATTGTGAGAGGCCGAGAGTAAGAGGCCTCTTGGCAGAGTGCCGTCCCTTATGCAAACCTTAGAGAGAGAGGTTCAGACTTCTCCCATCCCTGCCCTGCAGAAAAGTGAACAGCAGGGTACCGATACCTGGGCACTCGAACAGGAGTTGTGCGGGTTAGAAGTGGGACCGACAGAATTGGCGGGAAGGTACAGATGTCAGAGGGTGGAGATAGAGGCAGGAGTGGCGGAGATAAAAGGGAGGAACAACCAGTTGCCACCAGGCTGGGAATGGGTCTGGTTGCAAGATCCATGGACAGGTGTCTGGGAACGCTTACGGGTTCCGAAGGAAGAGGCCGATTATTGCCACAGAAGAGAGGTCCGCCCTAGACCATCCTATTGGGGAGAAGCAGAGGTGTGTGAGTGGCGATGGAGGCTGAGAGAGGAGAAGGAGAAAGTAGAAAGGGAAAAGTGAGAGAGGTTGGCATGGCAGGTGGAGGAAATGAGGAGGAGAAATTATCCAGGGAAACCTTGACGACCTTTTCCCCCACCAGAGATGATGGAGGACCAGACTCTGCATAGGAGGAGACTGTTCCCCTATTGGAAAGACCAGTCCAAGAGGTTCTAAAGGACGATGTTGCAATGGACTGGCCAGGCCCATGGAAGGTATCCAGGACTAACACCTTTCTTGAAGAAGCTTGGAAGCCCTTGCCAGACCCATTGGCAGGTGAAAACTTGTGGGACCCTTTTTTTCAATACTGGACTATTGTTGAATTAACCCAATAAACCTTCCCCCTGTTTCAAAGTTCAAAAAGCCTCCTGATTCCTTTGAAAAATTGTTGGATCCTAAAGACGAATCCTCACAACTATCTCCGGAGGCAAAAACGATTAACCTGAGATTGTCCTACTTTGGGCACATCATGAGAAAGCACGATTCTCTGGAAAAGACAATAATGCTGGAAAACGTTGAAATATGAAGACCAAATAGGAGATGGATAGTCTCCCTCAGTGATTTACAATCACTGAGCAGGGCAGGTGAGGACAGGACATTTCGGAGATGACTCATTCATAGGGTCACTATAAGTCAGAGATGGTTGGCGGCACATAACAACAGATAGCTTGCTCTAAGAGAAGAGCCCCCCCAAAGGATACTTTAGCTATTTGAATGTGGGAAGCTATATTCTGGTGGCAAGGTAAAACAGATAACTTTTTCCTCTCTACTATTTATTTATTTAAATATTTTTACCCTTCCTTTCTCTTTAAAAACCATCCAAGGTGGCTCACACATCATTAAAAAAGACAATGTTTTAAAGCTAGAAAGAATCTATCAGTGTTTTTGTGACCTAAACCAACGACTGCAGAATTCAAGCTAAGCTCTTTTCAGGAGGTTATCCTTATTGCATTGATGTGACCTGTACACAGCATTGCCAGCAGCAACATATTTGCAATATCTTTTTACAAATATGTTGCTGCTGGATCCGATTGATTTCCTCTTTAATCATGCCAGTCTTCACTCTTCGGAGAAATTTCTAATACAAGGAATGGCCTGATGGAGGCAGTAGATAATTACACTGATATTTATTTATTTATTTATGGTGTTTAAATATTTTGTGCCAACTACAAAGGGTGAGAGCAGATGGGAAAATAGCTTGCGTTTTTGGACTGTTTGTGGTACAGTCCAGTGTGAGTCATTTTTTGGTGGTCACACAATGCACAGGAGGTTGTGGACCAGCTTGACCCTGATCCATGCCCAACCTTTTAAGGGCTACCCTTTCTAAGTCGGGATGGAGCAATTACTGCATGGGCAAAAGGGTTACTTTAAAGGAGATCAGTGAAATTACCCTTTCCAGCATGATCAGACATTATCCTTTCTTGCTGTCTGATCACAGCCAAATGCAATGATGTTGCCTCGGGGATAAAAAGCACAAGAAAATAATTTGAGGAAAAAATAAACTTGAAGCTACAATAGTACAAAATGTTTTCAGCTAGCGCTAAGCAACTCTTTCCTGTTGCCTCCATAGCACCATACTTTAATTTAGAAAGATAGTGTGCTAGCTGGATAGCTCAGTGAGTTAATAATCTTTTTAATTGAAATAATATCAACTGTGGGTCCTGATGGCAATTTTTAGAGCCCTGTATTTTTAATTGTATTTTAATTGTTTTATCTTTTTATTGTATTCAAATTGTTGTAAGCCACCTTTGGGTAGTGTGGGCGGCATATAAGAGGAAGGAAGGAAGAAAGGAATCTGGCTGTGGAAACAGAGGTTGGGAGTTTATACGCAATCCGAAAAAGCCTGTCTCTGTGCCCCTTGGGCAAGCTGCACAGTCCTAGGGCACTGCCGGAAGAAGAGAATGGTAAACTCAGTTTTGAGTATCCTATCAAGAAAATCCTGAAAAGGGTCACCATATGTCAGAATTGACTTGATGGCACACCATTCATGAGTTAAATGCTCCAGCAAAAAGGTTTCAGGTAGTAATGTGGTGGGCAAGTCATATTTTAAATGCAGCCCCCCCTAAAGGTCCTATTTGTGCCCAAACCACATGTTCTGTTTCTACCAAAACCACACCTCCTGTCTCCTCTGTTGCTCCCCAACTCAGAAAACAGGTTCACTGTCTCTTGGGTTCCCCATCCTAGCAGAAGTTCTGTTGTTTTCTCTTTGTCTGGAACTCTTCAGTGGGACTTTGTGAGAGGCTCCTAGCTATAGTCTCACAGTACTTTGTGATAGCCTCTTCCGGCTCCATACAGTAAGTGCAACTTCTGCAAGAGATTGCAGTTTCACTTATGGCGGCAGCGGGGGGGTAGCAGCTGCCAAAGGGTTGAAGGGGGGGGGACAATGGAGTGCCTAATTCAGATGAGCTGCCCTCTCGGTTTAAGGGGTGAACTGCCAATCTTATTTGGACTGGATCCAAGTCAACCTCCACTATACTAGGAATGTCTGGGTTAGAAGGGATGCACTTCAGAGAACAGCACTGGACTTTACAGGCCAGGCCAGTGAGGCATACACAAGCCAGTGACTGATTCTGCACACCATGAAATGTTTTTGCACCTTCCACCCCATGCATCTTGCTACCATTTCTGACAAACTGTGCACCAGATATTTAAATAGGGGTGAGACGGGTGGGTGAAATTGTGAGCAAAACAAAGCAAAATCCCTGGTGTCTGCGACGGAGGCCACAGAGCCAGCAAAATTTATACAATTTCAAAACTACGTGGTTTTAGTTAGGGGACTTAAACAGTTGGTTAAATATCTTCTATAGAAACCAAAAGCCCTTCCTTACATTTTGCTCAATCATTACTTTGTTTGATATTAAATATTTTGGAAGTATCTTTGAGTCTTAAATATTTTGGCATAAATTTTGTAATGCCCATATAAGGAAAATGATAGTGGCAGTGAAGATATGTGTTTTGGATCTGTAGAAGAGATCCTTATGTTTTAATATCCGTCTTTGCATATGTGCTATTAATCAGTTTTATCTAAGATTATGATTATTTTCTTTCTTTTTTTCAATTCTATCTCATGTTGTCTTTTGACTCCCAAGTAATACATTTGTTTGTCGTCAAAATCTGATATGAATAT